TTTTACATGATTTCTGGCACATCATTCTGACCAGTGCTTCCTAGACTTGGGCAGCAGAATTATCTCTCCCAAAATGCATCTTTGCATTTTCTTTCAAACTCCACTTAAGAAATGCATTCTCACTCTGAGCATATGGACCAGTGTAATTTACCAGTCACCTGCGGGGACAGTGCTAATGCAGGGCGCTGAGCAGACTGGTGGGGCAGGGACCCCAGCACTGGGTGAGCAGAGCAGAGCAAGCACCAGCCCTAAGAGCCAGGCACCTTCTGTGTAGGGGTGTTCAGACCAGAGCACTGTTGCTAGTGCTTCTGCGCAGGACAGGAGGCCAGGGCCAGGAGGTCACGCAGATAAGATCTCAGCCAAGGGAACTAGGCGTTTCTAATGTATCTTCTAGGCACAGGCTTATTTTGAACTTCAGATGCAGAAAACATTAGGCCAAGACCTTTGTAACTCAGCAGCTTCAGGGGAACTGTAGCGAGGAAAAGAGAGCCCAATCTGTGGTGATTATTCATGGGCAGGCAGACAGGTCCTGCGTCTGGACTCTTGGCTGAGGCTGGTGGTTTATTCCAGTCCCAGCAGCCAGAGGCAGCCCATTTGGCAGGTTTTTCTGGTAACTTTTCCAACAGCCTTTTTTGTCCAGAAGTACCAAGCTGCTGAGGACTGGAGCGGCCCAGTCTTAACCAGGCATTAGCCAGCCTCTGTCTGTCTGTGTCCTGCTGGTGACAAAGAGGAGGGGTGGCTCCAGCCCACCCCATTTCCCTGGTGTCTGCTTGCACCCAGCCTTGGCTGCTACTGCCTGGTCCCCGGGACAGACTCAGGCTTTGTCTGGCTGGGTGCCCCCTGCCTCTGCCAGGAGAGGAGGTTGCAAAAGCGGTTCTCCTCCTTCTCCCAGCACACAGCTGTCCACCCTGGCAGCAGCAATCTTAAGTCAGAAAAACAAGGAGAAAAACACAGAGTTGCTCGCCAGTGTTAAAATTAGCATGTTGACATGATTGTGGTAACTCCTTGATGCTGTTGTATTAGATCCACAAGTAATTCTGCTTTGCTTTTTCCTTGGGGGTTAGCTGCAAATATTTTGTGTTTAGATATCTGAAAAGTTTAAAACATAATTGGAAATTGATCCAAAGGTTATATGCATAGCTAATACAAATACATTTTTAAAGCTCTGTTATGAATGGCCTCATTGAGGAGTGAGGATATTACTGATGAGCTACGTGGAATACTTTCCAGGAATTACAAAAATATTTTCTCATTTTTCTTGGATAGATGCAACACAGTGAAAATGTTAAGTAACTGTGGCAGCATCAGCAATCTCTGATTAAGTATTCTTAGGGCAAGAAACTTTACCCTTTGGTTCTAAAGCAGTTGATGGGATGTATCTTTTTTATATTTACTGCAAGATCAAAATATGCATGTTTGTCTTTATGGGATACCATTATATTCTAGCTACACATTTTTCTTTTGAAATCAAGCAGTTGTGATTTTTTCTTTAGTGACTTCTGGGTTTAAAACTGTTACTTGTTGTTTAATTTGCAGTGAACTTTCCTAATTCCTGCAAACTCCTTACAGCCTTTTAACTCCAGCAAAAAATACCTCTGTGATAGAAACTCAGTTCTTTTTTCACAGCAGTTGACTCTTTGCTAATTCCATGCTTTAGAGTAGCAAATGTACCTTTAAAAATATTGCTAGCATGTAGGCTTTGATAAGATTGTGGAGAATATGAAGGTGCTTTAATTTTTGAGTTTTTCCTTCATTCAATAGGAATAGAAGTACTCCATGCGTTTTTTTTTATTATTTTTTTTATTTTTATTTTTATTTTTTTAAGGAGACAGGAAAAAAGCCTATTACATTGAGTAATTATATTTCAATGAAATACTTTTTGTTTATGTGTGCCACTCCCCTCTAGTGAATAGAAGTGGAATTGCTCCATCTCATGCCATGTCATGGACCACCAGCTGCAAACAGAAAGAAATTTTCTTTAACTTTCAGTGACAGAGAATAATCTTTTTTTGGAGTTGAACAATGTGAGCTTTTTTGTGCTTTCCCCATTAAGGACAAATCAGATCTTCATTGTTAAGCATACCAAGTTTGCTAAATTCAGTCCTTTTTGTGCATATAATGCCCATGTAAGTACAAAATTAACTGCAGGGACAACGACAAAGCTATGAGCTATTACTGCTGTGTCTGTAGATTACTGGGTTTATGTAATAGTGTCTTGCTTTTTGCTCCAGCTTACATACATGCAGCATTTATTTTAACAATGTTTACTTTTTTCTTAATTGTTGTCAGTATTTGAACATATGTACACACACATGCACATATATATAGTGATTTTTAATTCCTCTATGTTAATGTTTGCTTTATTAAACCTTTAAGTAACTGATACCAATGCTGGCGTGGTTTGGTCACAGATAGGTGGGCAAGCCAAGGCAAAAAATAACAATCTATGTATTTTCACACAGATATTTTGGTATAATCACAGAATCACAGAATCATCTAGGTGGAAGAGACCTCCAAGATCACCCAGTCCAACCTCTGACCTAACACTAACAAGTTCTCCATTGAACCATATCCCTAAGCTCTACATCTAAACGTCTTTTAAAGACCTCCAGGGATGGTGACTCAACCACTTCCCTGGCCGAAAAAATAGGGTATGGTATGCATTCATACCATACCATACATGTCAGCCAACGTGATCTCAAGTGTAGGATTTCTCTGGCAAAAGGCCAGCCATATAATTCAGTAATCATGTTAGTCTGTCTTCATTACCCATGGAGAGAAATACATGCATTTAGGGCACCATTAATCTAACATACACAACTGGAGCAGGTCAGATATCTCATGCCTAGAACTGGGTTGTTTCTTTTGACTTCCAATTACAGACATCTCAAACTATTAAGACTTGTGTATGTGGTGGTCTAAGAAAATACTTGTATCTGATTCTTTGCTCTTTAGTGTTTTTTTTTGTTTGTTTGTTTGTTTTTTTTTGGCACAATAAATGGGTGATTAAATGGTGGTAGTGGTGAAAAGAAGTTTCTTTCACTCTGACAACCAAGGTAGTCTGTTAGACTTGCACAAGCTATGAAGGTCTCATTCTTAGTAAAATGAGTAGCCTGAAGAAGTCATGTAAGGAAGATGTAAAAATAATGAACTCTAAAATCAACACTAAATTTGATGCGGAGCATGTATGTGTTTTTAAAAATGTTTCATTAAAAAAAAAGAACAAGTATCCAAAGTTATTTTCAGTCATATCTAATGAATGCAGAGCTATGCATGAGAGTAGATTTAGATCTCTAGAATTTCATATGTTTATATATTGTACACATGCATTAAAACTGACATTAGACATTCACTTTATACAGTTTTCTTATATGTCTTATACTTCTTATGCACTTAATTTAAGCATGGTAATGCTTAAACACGTATATAAGCATTCAATGACTCAATATACTAGATTTTGTGTTTCCAAAAGTTAGTCATACTTCTTTTCTTTTTTCTCTTATAAATAAATAAATATTATAAATCAATAAATAAATACATAAAGTCTGTATTTAATATTTCACTCTGATGTAAGCATGTAAGTGATAATCAAGTGTAAAGTAACAGCTTTGTCAAGAGCAAATCACATCAAACATTTTATTTTGTATCCACAGGTTTTTGTGGCTAATGCATGCATTATGAATCAACAAAATCATGCTTTTGAGATACTGGGGGAGAACTGACATGAGAGATGGGAAACCAGTAGTAATAATGGCATATGTAAAATGATTAATAATCTTTCCACTTTACTCAGCAATGGTGAGGTTTTAGTTGCATTTCTTGTGCAGTCTTGGGTGATTCACTTCACATGTGACATTGGAGTAAGTCCAGAGAAGAACAACCAGAATCATATTTAGAACATATGCCTGTAAAGACAGAGTGATATAATTGTTCAGGAGATAGAAAAAAATTAGGCGAGACTTTTAAGTCTTTGAACATCTACAAGTGCTTTGAAGAAGGGAATGCATTGTTTCCCAAGTCCACTGGGAACATACTTAAATTGCAGGAAGGGGAGAGGGGTGTCAGACTTGATCTTAGGAAAAAAAATTCTGATGACAATTTTGGAATGAATCACTGTCCTTGTTCAGGGAATGTAACTGAACATTGACTGGAAGGTTGTGAATTATCCTTTGTGATAAGGGTTCAGGAACATGTTAGATCTTAGACAAGCCCTTGACAGGAATGGCACAGGTATAGCTGATGTGTCTGAGAAACAGGGTTTGTCCTGAGGACCATCTCTGTTCTTTGATTTCAAAATAGATACTGTGATATCATAAGAAATAAAGTTGAGGGAAGAATTTGGAAGAGAGAAATGATGCTGGCTAGGAGAACAAGAGACTTAGCACAACCAGGATCCTGTACAATAGCAAGTGAATGTTATAAAAAATGGGTAGAAGCTGTCAGGCTCTTTGGACATAGTTGCAGCATTACAGTAATGGTAGCAATGGTCCAAATTTACATCCATCAAAATTAAATGCAGTATTATTTCTGATTTCTTAGGGGCATAAGCATGAACACCATACAGAACATGAGGGGAAGAAAATATGATTTCCAAATTTACTGCTTATTGGGGTCTAAAAACCAAGCAGTTATTACAATTATGTTGTACCATAAATCATTTCTGTTATCCTGATGGAAATCCACTGCAAGTTTGAAGTTTGCTTAGACTACATAATCAGACATGTTGTTTGAAAAGGCTAAAGGAACTTTTTTATTTTTAGCTAAAAGAAGCATTAAAAAAAAATAAGACCAGACTGTGTGGACTCTAGTTATGCCAAACCTGCACTGGGATTTGTGGACTAGCATTTTATTTATGGACTGTGTTGTGCATCGCTGCAAATTTTTGTTTTTTTCATTTGCAACAAAGAGATAAAGTCTTGCTTGTTGCTGCATAGCACTTTTAGAACTACAGTTGAGAAGTGCTATTATGGAATTATTATTAAAAATGATCTCTTTTCCAGAGAGATCAGTGCTTGCCCATCCAACGTTTGTGTTTGAAAAGAAGGACCGTCCTTTGAAGGTAAAAACTTAAACTTTTGTTTTGCACAGTTGATCAAAAATGATGAGACACAAGGATTCTATAAACAATGATTCTTACAGTAATCAAATTTTTAGCTCAGATTAAGACTTGTAATAATTGGGATCAAAATAGAACAAGGAATAGTGGAAAGCAAATACAAGACTGTTTTTAATACATATATATTGGATTGATATACCTTGTGTCCTGCTCTAGAAAATGGCTGTTCTATTCTCCTTGACCTTTCCACACTTATATTTTTTTTCCAGCGGCCGGCAGAGGAACCAGTTTGCAAAGCTGAAAATGGTAATAACCACCTCACTGAAGCAGTATAATAATACATTGAGTTATTCATAGGATCTGACTGTTGCCTGTGAAAATAGTGTTTGGACCTTTATTTTGTATGAGCCAGGACAAATTTCCTGTTAGTAGACTTAGACTACATAGGTTGTAGAGCCACCTATTATGTCCTAATGTAAATTCCCCTGTCTTATTTCAAGAATTCTTGGCTTCTTACCTCTCATATTTACCAAAAAGCTGAACTCCAGAAGCCCTGAAAAGGAGCCAAGTATATTCATCAGCTACATTTGCTCCTATCTGCCCTTTCCTATTTTTTTTGGCCACAGCATAATGTTATTTCTCATATTTAAAATCCTCTGAGCCTATGGGCTGTTGTAATCTGATTCTAAGTGCTTGATTTTAGGTCCCCTGAACTTAATAGAAAGAAAGAAGATTCCCTAGGGCTTTCTGCCAGGTGTTGATTGAGATTCTAAGACCTTCTTTTGCTTTTAGGTACTGCCTTAAGGCTGTTCCTGTAAGTCATTCCTAGAATTTATTGTGTTCAGGTTTTAATTCTGTATAATAACATTGTGCTGAAATCACCTGCCAATCTGTACTCGCAGAACATTATATTTAACTTCCTTTAGATTTCATCTGTTGTTCCAGAAAACGTGCAAGATCATCATCTTTTACTTTTCAGAAGTCTAACTCACTGTCTAATACAGGTATGCCATTTAGATCCAATCATGTTTTAATTACCATAGTTCTGCATTCTCACCTGGTAAAGAAGAGAAGGTATTTTCCTATTTAATAAGTGTTTCTGCTTTGTAGAAATGAAGACTTAAATACTGATATAAACTTGGATGGTAATTTCTAATAAGAAGGTCTTAAAGTAAAAATAAATTATTTTCCCATATTTACATAGTATTGTATAAAATACTGAAAAATGTGTAGATTTCATACAGTTTCTTTGAGTTGCTCACACAGTCAGTGGAGGAGGAGGGCTGGAAAAGAATGAGATGTCTTGGTTTGTGGAAGAGATCAATGTTCCTTGGGCAATCCCTGAAACTGTAAAGCAGTTTTCCGAAGGGACCCTCTTTCTATCCAGCTGACAGGTGACCTCAAAGTCCCTTTAAGGATTGTGTGTTGATTCCATGATATTCAGGGGAAATGCAGACAAGTCACTGAAGGCTACTAAGCAGTAGGACTAATCTCTTTTTTACTGTATTTATTTAGCATATGAACTGGGAAGTTTCTCCAGGATTTAGGCATTAATTGTGTAAATTATATTTTTATTTATAGTTTTCATTTTTAATATTTATTTTAATTTTTGCTTTTATTTTTATTTAGTTCTGTGACACACCTAAACATAGCTAAAATGATTTAAGATAATCTATGTTGGATTTACCCTGAAAATTACATCAAAATAAAGTACAAAAAATCACACATATGGTAGAAATTTTAGAGTATGCCTACATCAAAAAATAAATCAGAGTACTAGAGCAAGTATGAGTGTTAGCTGTCTTAACTGTTCGCACTATTAACCAGTAGCTTACTCCCTGGTTCTGTTTTGAACCTCTCTAACAGGCAGTCTTCAAGACAGAGCCACTGTAGAGTGGCTGTAAGCAGTGTGCCTGAACCAGGCTATAGCACTTGGCCTCAGAGACCTCTCTGATTCATCAGTATAAACATAATCTAGTGGTCTACTTCAGAAAGCTGGTAGATAGCAGGTAGTAATTTGTTCTGCTGCCAGTTAAGACATGACATGAAATTAGCTAGCCTTAAAATTAATCTCTTTGCTCCAAATAAAAAGAATAATGTCAGTTTCTTGTCTTTTCAGATACAAAACTTGCTCAGAAAAGAGGGAGATCATCTTCCTTTACCATCCTTCCTACCTTCCCTCCCTCCCAGCCAGGTAATTAAAAAAAAAACCAACAAACAAACACAAAACCCAAACCAACAAAAAACAACATATAAAATATAAAATCTAATAAAATATATATAATATAAATATATATAATATAAATAAATATATTAAAATATAAAATATTTGTGTAGAAAAGCAGATAGAGATCTGCTTTTAAAGAGATCTGCAGAAGTTCTTTTTTCTGTAGGACAGATCTGGACAGGATTGGGCTGGGCAGGTAGTGAAGAGGAGAAAGGAATATTTTAGGAGGATTGGTAGCATGATGTTATTTGAATTTGTTTTTAGGGAATCATGCACTTCTGGGGATGAATCTTTAAATAAGTTGCAAGTAGGCATTTTACTGCATGAGGTACAAATAGTAATTGAAAAAACACAGAATGAAGTTAAAGTAATTACATGATTTAGTTTGCTTGCAATTTATTAGTAGTTGTTCCTATAGGAGTGTCATTTTTATCCCAGGAACCTGTCTTCCATCTCACCAGTGACCCTGTGAGCATTCTCCCACTTACTAAGAATGGGGAAGACAGCGTGGTCTGAAATCCTAGTCTGTCTCTTGTCAGGATCAGGTCCTTGACAGACTTTCATGTAAGGGATTTCTAAAGGGATCTTACGGGGCTTTGTTACAGCAACAAATGATATTCTTCCTGCAATGAAAAAGCAGTGATCATGTGTAGAGTATCAGTTGTGTGTAATTTTATAGGACATGGTACATGTTTGCTATTACTTGCATGTTTCTGGCTGGCATGTTGTATCTTTGTAAAAACAGTGAAAGTATCAGGAGTGCAATGCCATCACTGCAGCAAGTTATGAAAGCCTTTTGACTAGAACAGGGCAGGGTACATCAATTTATTTCCATGTTCTTAGGTCTCATTTACTCATTTTAAAAAAGCATGAGATGGGACCAGGTTGTATTGCTATTTCAATGGCTTTCGCAAACCAACAGCAAAAGTGCATGGTTTCCTGGTTTTGAAAGCTGAAGAAAGATTTGAGATTAAAGCATCTGTTCATATCCAAAAGACTTGTATCTCTGACATAGCCAGAAAACCTATGGTACTTAAGACCCATGATACTTAAGGTTAAGATATTGCTTGGGTAATACCAAAAGAAGCCGGGGGAGGGGGGGGGGTGAGGTCAGAGAGGGAGAGCACTTACAAAATCATTAATTAATAATTTAAACTTTTTCATTTTTGATTAAGTTTTAATTCCATGTTCTTTAGTAAAGAAGAACAACATATTCATGACCTCAGCTCTCTTTCGAAGAAACACTGAAGTCAAAACTACAAAAGAAGGTAATTACCATTGCATTATTTATTCACTATAGCTCCACAAAGATGTTCTTAATGGATACAGAAGAGATAAAAATGACAGTTCTCCTGTAAACTGAGTAATATGCCAAGTGTCTTTGTGAGGTTCATCAGTTACTTTTTTAACAGTGTAAATATCTTGTGAGCTCTGGTCTGAGCCTCTGCTCAGACTACTTAATTCCTGAGTGGAATGAATATGGCCTTGCATAGTGAAATCCCACATTTCTAATAAATGACTGAATAAGGATAAAACTCTACTGTTTCAGAAGTCAATGAAGAGCCCCTTGGCATCTGCAGGTGCAGGATTAAATCTGAAATACTGGAAGACATGTCTAACACAAAACACTACTGATTTGTTTGAACCTAAATATGAATAGGTTAGTATTTATATTTAGGTCCAAATATATATTTAGGTTCTAAATATAAATATATATTTTATTTAGACATATATATGTATATATTATATAATGCATCACCCTGTTATCCTGATAAGTTGGTGTCACAGCAGAGTTGTATGTGTTTTAGAGGTATTATTTATTTTAGAATATATACCACAGAAACAATAACAATAAATGTTATTTAGTATGCTTTGAAGTTTTCAGTTAAAGAGGCAAGACACATTGGTATGAATTAGATGTGGAGAAAAAGTCTCTGTTTAAATATTTTGTCTTTGTATTTTGCAAGGATCCTTGTCACAAAGTCAATTGCGGAATGTTATTAGACCTGCCATTTTACAACCCCCACAAGCCCTGACCTGTCCTGAAAATCCTGTAGTATCTCTAATGACTAAGCAAGAAGCACATATTCAGGTAAAAGGAAGAGTAATTTTACTGACTAATTTATGTTTGGAGCTCAATCAAATTAAAGAACAAAAAACAAATGAAAAATCAGTGCTGTTTAAAAGTGGTTAATTATTCCACTGCATGATTTTCAAGGAATTTCCTGTATCTGTTTGAGTGGAATCGATGGATCACTGATTACAGTGGGAACTGTTAAACTAGTGCTAACCCTGTCTAGAAAAACATGTCTTCTTTGCAGTCTGTCTCAATTTTCAGATACCAGGTTTCTGTGGGTGAATCAAGTTTGGGGATCTATATTTTATTTATTTAGAAAGTAACATTTTTATGCTTTGATTAAGGGCACTGGCTTAATACGTAGTTGGAGGAAGATCTGCTAACTACCACATATATAAACCTCAGTGACTCTGGATTTCTAGCAGACCTGTTTAGAGCAGAAAGTAAACTTGGACTGATTAATTCATCTGGTTCTGTTATTCCTAGTTACCTAAAGACAGCTCTTATTCCTTATCTGAGAATTCAGTAAGTTCCAAAACAGCAGCAAAGTCATCTATTACCATGAATCCTTCTAGCTCTAAAGCAACACGGTAAGCTTATTATATTTTTACACTATTTTGTCACTCTGCCTATGGCCTGCCCTTTTGTATTACATGTCTAAGATGGTACTAAGTCTATCTACATCCACACAGTGCTCACTGGTATTTGTGTGTGGTGCCAAGATTTGTGGGTGCTGACATGAGTTCTGTACACCATAAGGAATGGACTGCTGCCAGGAAACAGTTCATTTCTCTTTAGCAACTCCCAAGCCAGAAACTATTTTGGTTTGCCATTTCATGCAGCTTTGTCAATTCAAAATATGTCTTGGTTTTGAATGTTTACAATCACGTTTTCTCTTCGGAGAACTCTATTCTGATTGCATAGCTGCCCATTTCATAAGCAGATGGAGAGAAAATCGTTAATTATCAACATATGTAAACATATTGGACACAGAATGCATGAAGAAGACCATGCAGGACTGCTTTGGAAGACATGGTGAATGCTGCAGCTGATATGCTACTTCCATGTACATGCCGGAATTTCTGGCATGAACAACTAGCTGCAGTGACTGTGATAGGGTGGCACCTTTATGCACAGGTTCTCCAGGATGGACTTTTGAATTTCTGCACGAGGAAGCTAATTTCTTTGGACTGGGACACTTTCTCTCACCACTGCCTCTGTATATAACTGAAGGAACTCATACTAGTGCAAAAGAGAGCACTTGAGAGCTCACTTCTCTCTGGAGAATCATGAGAATGCTATAGGTCTGTCAGCTAACCAGTTTAGTGCAGACAGGTTATCCCATGAGTATTAAAACTGCTTCATGATGGTTGATTAAAGTTTTTTACCTGGAAATTGTGATCATCTGGAGTATACCTTAAGATACTGATTAAAGAACAGTACTTCAAAATTGCTAGGACCACAACCAGTATATCTGTGATGTTGCATCCTTTCCCCCTCCCACCCAATGAGAGCAAAGAGCATGTTGACTTCAAAGGAATCTGTTCAAGTCTTCTTCAGAGCCTGATGGACCACAGGTAAAGAGTCTTGCACACACATTTGGGATGCAGAATGCCAGGCTTCCGAAGAGATGAGAAATTTTATATGCACAGGCAACTTAGATTCTCAATACTTATCAACAAGAAGAGCATTGTTAGAGGGCTCAATTATTGTTCTTGGAAGAGCCAGCCTGCCCTGTTCTATCACAATTAATGTTGTGATGATATCCTATGAGTACATGCTGTGTTTTTAGCAGATTAAGAATGATGGTAATGTACATATTAGAAAAGCTAAAGGAAGATGCTCCTGCCTTAAAATCAGTTGATTTTAAGCCAAAATTTAAACCAATATTCCAAGTCCATTTACCTTCTGTCACCTGTACAACATCTGGGAACAAAGACTTGAGTGTCTTTGTTTTCTGAAGTAGATGAATAGAGAAATGCTATGCAGTGTTTCAGTCCATAAGCTATAGGACTTAAAAGTTCTTAGAGTGTTTTGTTTCCTTTTCTTTTTTCAAAAAAGGGATTACAAATCTTGTATTCTGTGCCTGATTAATTTTGTATATCGGAATTGTGGTAAACATAGACTTAATTGCCAAGCTGAATACTAATTTAAATATGACCAGGTGCTTTCTGGTCTTCCAAGATTATAGGAGAGGGCTAGTGCCATTCTTCTGAGTGTCTGTTGCTCAAAAACGTGTCATAAAAATCTTTCTGGAGTAGCTGTTTTCTCATAGGTAACTTGACAGGTATTCAAACAGCTGTATTAAACTCCATATACATGCTAAAAACTAGCAACCATTGCAGCCAGGCCTGCTGATCACTAAGAAAAAAAAAAAAAGTGAGTTTTTTTTTTAATTATCAGTCAAGGTGAAATGATTGGCATTTGTGTACCAAAAAAAAAAAAAAAAGCATTGTGGGGAGACTCAATAACATAGATTCCTGCTGCCTGCAAATGTCCCTTTCTTTCCCCCATCTTTCTCATGTTCTTCTCTGTGATACAGTTCTGTCAAGAGATGAATGAAAATAATTTGTTAGTCCTCTGCAGTTGCTGCAGCTGTTGATATCACAGGAAACCACCAACAGTTCCATTTCCTGAACTTACTAGCTTACAGCAATAAACTAAAGAGGAGAAATTTACTGATTTTCTTGAGTCTTATTAAGAAAATAATTAGTAAATTTGAAATTATTAAAATATTATGGATAATAATAACAATTATAAATAAATTTATTAACATTTTAAAGACAACATTTTTTTCTAAGTGACAGAAATACAATGTTGGGAAAATGCAGACTTCTGATCCTGTATTCATCTTTGCACAATAATTTGCCTGAAAACTTTGCAGTGCGTCAGGGCCAGCACTAGAAGTGGCAGCCTCTCAGAACCCTCTGGACACTCTGAGAAGGAGCAGCGGAGTATCTGAATCTACTCCCTCTCCATAGTATCTTTCCAGTGTCCTATAGACATTGCTTCTCTGATTCTTCCTTGTTAGTGTTAGTTTCCTGAATTCAGTGTCTCTGATTTGCATCTCCATGTCAGTATCATCCTGGCACATTCTGTTCTTGCCCTGCAGCAACATAAGGGTATTCAGGTTTTAATGAGACTCTCAGACTGGCACATACAATTTAATTGTCTGCAAAAAGAAAGATCCTGACAGATTGTTTTTTTCTTAAATTTCTCAAAATAATCAAAATCTGTTTCCTGCATTATTTATTTGAGACAAGGTTCTAGTTTTTGATTTTTAGCTCTTCTAGAATACTATCCTTACTCTTTTGCTAGTAGAGTAGCCTGGATGTAGCAAATGAAATCTCAGAATGGAAATTGATTACAATTCAGTGAATTTTAATGGAAAATTGTCTTTACTAAAGGCTAAGAAAGTAATTAGTTTAAACACACTTCAGATTTCCTGTTCATGGCATAAAATCTGTAGGGAAGACTTCAAGACTGAAAAGAGACTGATTTTCTGCTTTTTATATTTTATTTCCTCTTTGTGTTTGTAACACATCAAACATGGATGAAGAAAAGTTAAGGAGTATTATTTCTGTGAGTGTAAGGTACTGAATTAACTACTGAATTCCTTCATACTACATGAAGAGATTTCAAGCACATTGTCACTGTGAACACAAAGACTTAGTTGTAGACACATATCATCAAAGTTGTAGAAGCAAACCCAGCTTACTAACGGGAATATCCTCTGCATGACGTAAGTGCCACTAAGCCCTCCCAAGGATGATAAGTGCTCTAGAAGAGACTTGATAAGTGGTGCTGAGGTATGTACTTTGTGTCAGAGCATCAGATTGTCTTCCTGACAAATCTTCCTTCTGAAACAGAAGGAGCCATGAATGGTTTTGACTTTGACAGCAAGAGATATACAGTGATAAGTTCTACAGAAAGCATGAACAACCTGTAGGCCTATTGTCAAAAAATGCCAGCAGGAACAATTTCCAAACAAAGAAGTTTATAAGGACTTTTTTAGTGAATTTTATAAAAAATGGATCTTGTTAATTTAAAATGGCAATCGAGTCAGCAGGAATCACAATTAATAAGAAGGTAAGATGGTAAGAAGGGGAAAGGGAAAAGAAAAAGTGTTGTTTTAGTGTAGCTTCTGCCAAAACTAGTCACACTCAAGAAACTCCAGATCCTAGTTGTAACATAATTTATCTACAGTGGGAAATTTTCTCCCAAATCTGTATCCCCCAAAACTATTATTTAGTCAGTGTCACAGGACTGTAAATACTTACTTTTCTTCACTTCTCATCTTAAATATATCTGGAGAATAGGTCACTGAAGAACGTAAAGATCTTTGTTTCCTGTTTTTGTTATATCTCATCATAAGCCATGTGCTATCATATGATATCATCTCATGAGCTGGCAATGTGCACTTGCGGCTCAGAAAGCCAACCATATCGTGGGATGCATCAAAAGAAGCATGGCCAGCAGGTGGGTAGAGGTGATTCTCCCCCTCTACTCCACTCTTGTGAGGCCCCACCTGGATTTCTGTACCCAACTCTGGGGCCCCGAGCACAAGAAAGACATGGACCTGTTAGAAGGAATCCAGACGAGGGCCTCAAGGAAAATCAGAGGACTGGAGCACCTCTGCTATGAAAACAGGCTGAGGGTGTTGGGGTTGTTCAGGCTGGAGAAGAGAAGGCTCCAGAAAGGCCTTTCTGCAGACTTTCAATACTTAAAGGGGGCTGACAGGAAAGACAAGGAGAGACTTCTTACCAGGGTGTGTAATGATTGGACAAGGAGTAATGGTCTTAAAGTAAAAGAATGTAGGTTTAGATTAGATATAAGGAAGAAATTATTCACTCAGAGGGTGGTGAGGCCCTGGCACAGGGTGCCCAGAGAAGCTGTGGCTGCCCCATCCCTGGCAGTGCTCAAGGCCAGGCTGGATGGGGCTTTGGGCAGCCTGGGCTGGTGGGAGGTGTCCCTGCCCATGGTGGGGAGGTTGGAGTTAGATGATCTTTAAAGGTCCCTTCCAACCCAAGTCATTCTTTGATTCAATGATACTACAATTCTCTGATGCTACAATACCTTTACATATTTTTGCAGTATTTATCTGAATTAAAAGTGTATTAGAACGCACTGCCTGTCTGCTTTTCTAAGTTGTTTGGTGGATGACCAAGGAGGGCCAGTGAGGCACTGGAAAGTAGGTTATTCTGTAGGGCACCAGAGCTGCATCAACATGGAGGAATAGTTGTTTATCAATGGTACATTTTCATGGTGCAAAAAATAGGGAAACAAATGTGACTCATTAAAGCTTCTGGAATAAGAAGCTTTAGAGTAGAACACTTCCCAGAGGAGGAAGAGAGGGCATGTTCTTTTGCTTGTTGTCCTTTGCTTTCAAGGAACATCCCTGGTAATCTTCATGAAATGCAGTGTAATCCTATATGTTCCTTTTCTCAAATGTTACGTAGAGAACAGTTTCAGATTCTCTTAAAGATTATGTCTATCTGATTGCTTAAGAGGTCATTTTTTGTTTGTCTTTAATAATGTAAGGTGTGGCAAAGTAAATGCATGAACATATTTCTACTCTTAGTTCTATATTTATATTTGTAAAAGAAATTATATTATTTAAATAGTTCTAAATCACAGCCTTATTTTGTTCCCACAGAACAGAAAACAGAAGTGTATTATGCAACAGCAATTCTAGTTTTGTGTTTGGAGAAAACATGGATGAGAGAGTTTTGGTAAGATCTGTGAATGCTTGCAGGCTTTTTATCAAGATTAACATACTTAGGAGTTTATATTTTTTCAGAGATTAATACTTTTTTAGCTCCTCCTTTCATTTTAAGATGTGAGTAGATAAGATTCTAACGGCTGTTGAAGAGATAATATTTATTTTCTTCAGGAGAGGTAGGCATCCTTATTTTCCCATCCTAAATAACTACCATAACTATAAACCCATACCAGTATGCATTTCCTTTCTTTTGCTCATTTTTTACCTGTAAAAGGCTTGTTTAAATACTCCACATAAAGCAGAATAGCCACAATAGGAGAGGAAAGAATGTATTTCCCACCATTCTAACATTTTTGATCATAGTTGTTAAGAGATAGGAGAAATTAGTATGAATTCTGTTGGGCGGAGAGGAAAATTGAAAACAAATCCTAGATAGTGTCCATGTTAAGATACATTGTGCAGCTGTGAAACAGCTTAATGGATCAAGTCCTGAAAAAAAAACTTATGACAACAAGGTGGTTCCCAAGCTGAAGACTGTAACGCTTAAAGTGGTATTGAAATTCAGTTTCTATTAGAAGTTCAGTGAAAGCAATTTACATATCTGTCAGTGAAAAAGCTTCAGAACTGTAGGGGTGGGCTACAGCTTGTGACAAGGATATATGTATAGCATGGGAATTGAGCCACAGTTATTGTCAGGAGCACTTTCTTAGACTTAGGACATATTCTGCAAAATAGAAGGATGGAAATTTTTAATTCCTCTGAGGTTAAGTTTGTGGTGACTGGGAGTTTTAAGTTATTCTGGGGTTTAAATGCTTAAACTGGAAATTAGCTGTTACTTAAAAATCTAAGTCTTTCAGTAGATTTACAGCTTAGTCCAGGGTCCTTACAAAGAAGCCATTCTTCCTGGGAGGATTGTGTATTGATTTTATGACAATAAAATAACGTTGAAATTGCATCATCTGTGTTGGTGTTTGTTCTTAATATATTACAATTCTTAATCATCTCCTTAGTGTGAATTCAAACATTCAGTGGTCTGTTTGATAACAAGTAACATAGCCCTTTCATTTAAATAGGAATTCTTACTTCTCCTCCTTTTTTTTTTTTTTTTTTTTGTATTGTTTCTTTCCATCTTTCTTTGTTTTTTAGAGCCCTGAAAAGCATCCCAAGCCATGTAATGAAGTTGATTCATGTAAAGGAGAAACAACATCCCTATACATAGAATCTTTTCAAGTTAGTCCACAAACAAGTAAGCATACTCAGCAAACAAGTACAGTTAACTTTTGTATTTTATGTTTGAGGGTGTCTTAGAGGTTGTCAGAGGAATGGTGCTCAGTAATTTTCATCTATTACCAAGGTGTCCAGTCACTAGTACACTATTGCAGTATGTGTAGTCTGCACTTAGAAAGCAGCAGCAGTTTGTTTTATGATATTTAAACCAGACTAACTTCAAAATGAATAATCAAAGTTATACATGAAAGGGTAGAGTTTTCCAGAAATATTTGTTATTTGAAAAAGTGCAGTGAACTTAGTGAACATCTTTCAGACTGTATTTTTGAACTACAATTTCAAACTGTCTGCAGTAAAATGTAAATGTAAAATACTTCTCTCATATAAAATACTTTTCATTATTTATACCCTTATAGTAGAACTAAAAATTCTATGCAGGCAGACTTCAGGGATTGTTTGTGATTCTGATGGGCAGCTTTTCTGCTAGGCAAGCCACGTAAACATTGACTGTTTGAGGGAATTCCAAATAGGTCCCTATCTTTAGCTCCCTCCTGAAATTTTACATCTCTTTCTGGTAATGTATGTATTGGGTCATCTTGTTTTGTAGTAGCATTCTTCCAAGCCAAAAAAAAAAGAGAAAGGACGTGGAAAACAGATTATGCAAACACTCATTTTTTGTAGCGTATGTTCTTTTCAAATTTTGTACTTTCATGTTCCTGTCAAATAGTCATTGTATATGTATTACTATTCTGAATATTGGGACATATGCCTTTCATTATTATTAAACTGCACAGCAGTATGACAGACCAGTTTAATCTGGAAAATCAACTTCTAATCATTTAGGGTTTGTTCCTGCAACTTGTCCCTTGGGCTTCTCCCCTGCAGAGAGCCCTATTCAATTAAAAATAAGCCTAAATAGATGTGACATTTTGCTGTATTCCAGCCTTTTTCTCTTCTATCTGCTGCTTTGGCCAAAAGCTTATTAATAGCATTTAATGATAACAGACACAGGGAATACGGAAGTCATGGGCCGTTATATGTGCTATAAATATTCCTTTTACAGAAAGGATTTCCTTTTTTTTTTTTTTTTCCCCTACAGAAACAGCTTTGTTAAGGAATACAACACTAATTGAATCAACATCTGCTTGTATTTCCAAGACAGTGGAGAAAGTTCTATTAGATAAAGTTGAAGTTATAACGGGAGAAGAAGCAGAACACAATGTATTACAGGTGTGTATTTCATCAAGCCCTGGTGATGAGCAGTTTTGTTGTTGAAAAGAACATCTAGATCTATTATAGATCGCAGAAATCAGAACATCAGTTTATATTTTAGATTTTTTTTTTAAGATATAGCTATGCTAATTTATTTCTCCATAGGCTGAAAATTTTTGTATTGTGTCTGTTCATTCTGTAGTCCCCTTCAAAATTTCATTCTATGGTTGTATATTACAAGCATCTTCACAGCATGCCAGCAGTGATTGAAACATCAAAACTGAAAGTAAATGAAGATTTTTTTAATGATAAAACTTACAGGAAAAAAAATGTTATCAAAATAATTAGTTTTATAATTCATCTAAAATACCAATTATCTTTCTCGTCTAGCAGTATGCATTTTGCTATTCTTCATCTTCAAACTGGTATTTTCTCAGACAATAGCAAAGACGTATAGGGTTTAAAAAATCTTAAAATTGAGAGTTACATAGTTTTAGCATTGATGAAATCTTTTGTCAGAACATGGAAGTCTTACTCTTTGTGGGGTAGTATTCTCTTAGTAGTACTGGTATCCTCCTATACTGGGCTACATAATGTTTTCAATGAGAGAGGTAATAGGTTGAAATAGTTGCAACAAATTCAGGTATGTTAGTGGATATCGCAGTTGAAGAGTTAATGAAGATGAAATAATTGAAAAAGTAAACTGACATGCTGACTGTTTTCAAAGACTAACATGTCAGGGACTCATTTCATTTTAAGTAATAATGTTGATGTATCTATAAAACTGTCCTGTATACAGACATACTAACATATTTAAAGCTGTATTAGAAGGTTTAAAAACATAAACTTTTAGAACCAGTAAAGTTAACATTGGCTGGCAATTTCCATCATGTCTTTCTCTTTCAGATTAACTGCAAGCTCTTCATATTTAATAAGCTTTCTTTAACCTGGATTGAAAGAGGCAGAGGATCTCTCAGGCTTAATGACACTTCTAGCAATAAATGTGGAATGTTGCAATCAAGGCTAAGTAAGAATTGAATAACAAAGTAACACATGCATAAAATACTAAATAACTTACACTGTTGCTGCCCAGAATCAATTTATCTCAGGACATTTAAAACTCAGTAGCTAGTTTTATTTAAGTGAACTTGCTGAGAGTCTTTTTGTCACTAAAGACTGAGGCATTGCCTTGCCTGGGCATTTTTCACTCAGTTTTTGCAGTCAGGCATATTACTGTTGTTAGGTTCTGTGTGTTTCTACTGCAATGTATCTTTAGCTCAGTCACCAGTGTGACAGTTTGCTCTTTGTTGATTCTTCTTTTCCAGGAGCACTGTTTCAAGTCACTTCAAGAATGTTGTTTTTACTGTGCTGTCATTTTTGTATTGCATTGCACAGTTTCAGCAGATTATTTGCTCTGCATTCCAAATGTATTAAAGAAACTAATATATTTTGGTATTTTAAAAGAATTTTAAAATAATATCTAACAACATCAGGTTTTAGACCAAATTAAAAGGAATAATTCATGAAAGTATTTAGTTGTATAGAAGTGCTGGAAAAAATGCTATAAAAAGGAAGATAATTCCGATTACTTATATGAATCTTCTTATTTTAGTTATGCGAAATCAAGGCAGCTTGAGACTGATTCTCAACACCAGACTCTGGGATCAAATGGTAATAAAAAGAGCAAACAGAAAAAGTGTGTGCTTCACTGCAACAGACCAAGAGGACCACTCTGTTCAAGTATTTCTAATTCAGGTAATCAAAAGATAAAAACCCACCCAAATTCTCATGTCATCTAAGATTCTGAAAATTTGCCGAGGCTTTGGTTTTAGCAAGTAGTATTTTATACTCTGTCAGGCTGTGCTTAGCTTAGCTTTTGCATAGCTTTTATTACAAAATGAGTTATCACTGCTATCTGTTGGTACTTAAAAAAGGGTTTGAAGACGTGATTATTGCCTTAGGACAGCCACTTCCAAACTCTGGTACACATACCACTGATGGAATCAATATTATTCCACAGTGTTATGCAGCACTTCCTGTTCTTTACAAAAACATTTGTAAGTCACTTAGGTACAAGGCTGCAGCTTTCTGATGTGGTTCTAGACACAGTACTTGCAACTCTTATGCTTGACCAACCTGATAAGCTTCTATAATGAAATGAGGAGCCTGATGGATGAGGGGAGAGCAGTGGGTGTGACCTTTGACTCTATCCATGTGACGTTTGACTCTATCCTTTGTGAACTTTGACTCTGTTCCCCATAAGAAACTCAAAGAGAAGCTGTTGCTATATGGGCTGGAGGAGCAGACAGGTGGATCAAAAACAGGCTGAACAGCCAGACCCAGAGGGTAGTAGTCATTGTCACAAAGTCTAGTTGGAGTCCAATAATGAGTGGAGTACCTCAGGGATCAATACTGTGTCCAGCCATGTTTAACATCTTTGTAAATGATCTGGATGATGCAATAGAATGCACCCACAGTAAACACACTAAGCAGGGGGAGTGGCTTACTCACCAGAGTAAGTCACCCAGAGGGACCTCAACAGGCTGGAGAGGTGGCCTGACACCTGTCTCATGGAGTCCAACAAGGAGAAGAGGAGAGCCCTGCATCTGGGGAGGAACAACACAAGGCACCAGTATGTGCTGAGAGCTACCCAGCTGGAAAGCATCTCTGCAGAAAAGGATCTAGGAGTCCTGGTAGACATGAAGTTGAACATGAGTCAGCAACATGCTGTTAAGAAGGTTCATTGTATTCTTGGCTGCATTAGACCAAGTATCTCCAGCAGGTCAAGAGAGGCGATCCTTCCCCTCCGCTCAGCACTGGTAAGGCCACATCTTGGTGTACTGTGTCCACTTATGGGCCCTCTGGTACAAGAGAGAGATGGGCATATTAGTAAGAGTCCAATGGAGGATCACCAGGATGATTAAGGAACTGGAGCACCTCTCCTGTGAGGAAAGGCTGAGAGAGCTGGGGCTGTTCAGCTTGGAGAAGGGGAGGTTTGGGAGAGGATCTTATCAATGTATCTATAAATACCTTAAGGGAGGATGCAAAGCAGACAGAGTCAGGCTCTTTATTGCTCTAACTGGATGCATATAAGCCTCTGGGACCCAATGGGATTCATTCCAGGGTACTCAGAGAGCTGGCTGATATCCTTGCAAGACATCTCTCAATTATTTTTCAATGGTCCTGGGAATCTGCAGAGGTCCCAGTTGACTGGAACCTGGCAAAGGTTGTCCCACTTTTCAAGAAGGGCAAGAAAGAAGACCCTGGTAATTACAGGCCTGTCTGTCTCGCTGCAGTGCAAAAATTATGGAGAAGGTTATTCTGAGAATTATTGAAAAACACGCAAAAGATAATGCAGACATTGGTCACAGCCAACATGGGTTCACAAGGGGAAAGTCCTGTCTTATGAACTTAATTTCCTTTTATGATGAGGTCACCCGCCTACTTGACCAAGGGAAGCCAGTTGATGTAATCTTTTTGGATTTCAGCAAAGCTTTCAATACTCTTTCTGACAATATCCTTCTGGACAAAATGTCTGGCATACAGCTAGACAAATACATAATGTAATGGGAGAACAGTTGGCTGACAGACTCACACGGTTCTACTAAATGGGGTTCAGTTTCAGGTTTCTTGATCATGGGAAGGTCTACGTGACACCAGGCCTACTGAATCCTGATGTTGAACACCTTTCTCTGAGGGGGGAAAAGATTTTTGCCCAGGAGTTAGCAAGATCGGTTTATAGGACTTTAAACTAGGTTTTAAGAAGGAAAGGGACAAAACCAGACCCACCAGTGATAAGCTACAGGACTGCATGCCAGTATTTGAGGAACTTCATGCTAGTGAGGCCCTTCTGTCTGCTCCACAAGGGGATGAGTTGAATGAAGGACATCTGAGATGTTTCTATACAAACACATGCAGCGTGAGAAACGAGTATTTCAGCTCCCTGAAGTGCTTGTATACTAATGCATGTAGTATGGGAAACAAACAAGAAGAACTGGAGATTTGTATGCAGTCACAAGGCTGTGATCTCACTGCAGTCATGGAGACATGGTGGAATAGCTCACATGACTGGAATGCTGTCATGGAAGGCTACGTGGTTTTTAGAAATGACCGGCCAGGAAGGCAAGGTGGTGGCATTGCTCTTTATATGTGAGAGAGCAACTGGAATGTGTGGAGCTCTGCCTAGGGGTGGATGTAGAGCAGGTTGAGAGCTTATGAGTAAGGACTAAAGGGCAGGCTACTGTGGCTGATACTGTTATGGGTGTTTGTCCACCTGATCAGGTAGATTAAGCCTTTTTCAGACACCTCCAAGCAGCCTCTCAGTCACAAGTCCTGGTTCTCATGGGGGACTTCAACTACCCTGATTATCTGTTGGGTAGGCCACACAGCTAGGCACAAACAGCCCAGGAGGTTTCTGGAGTGCACTGATAACTTTTTGACACAGATGGTGGAGAAGGCAACAAGGAGAGATGTGCTGCTGGACCTTGTACTGATGAATGAGAAAGGACTAGTTGGAGATGTGAGGGTCAGGGGCAGCCTTGGCTGCAGTGACCATGATATGGTGCAGTTCAGGATCTTGTGAGGAGGAAGCAGGGCAAAAAGTAGGATTAAGACCCTGGACTTCAGGGGAGAAAACTTTGGCCTCTTCAGGGATCTACTTGGAACAATCCCATGGGTTAGGGCCCTGAGATGAAGGGGGGGTCCAAGACAGCTGGTCAGTATTCAAGCATCACCTCCTCCAGGCTCAAGATTAATGCATTCCTACGAGCAAGAAGGCAAGCAAAGGAGGCAGGAGACCTGCATGGAGGAGCAGGGAGAGCCTAGCAAAGCTCAAACAGAAGAAGGAAGTTTACAGCATGTGGAAAAAGGGACATGCCACTTGGGAGGAATATAGGGACGCAATCAGAGTATGCAGGAATGTGATAAGGAAGGCCAAGGCCCAGTTGGAATTAAATCTGGCAAGGGATGTCAAGGACAACAAGAAGGGCTTCTTCAAATGCATCAGTAGAAAAAAAGAAGATGGGAAGATGTCGACACACTGTTGAATGGGGCAGGTGCCCAGGTGACAAAGGATACAGAGAAGGCGGAGTTGCTGAATGCCTTTTTTGCTTCAGTCTTTACTGCTAAGTTCAGCCCTCAGGAATCTCAAACCCTGGAGACAAGAGAGGAAGCCTAGAGAAAGGAAGACTTTCCCTTGGTCGAAGAGGATAAGGTCAGAGATATTTTAAGCAAACCTGACATCCACAAATCCATTGTTCCTGATGGAATGCACCCACAGCAGGTGCTGAGGGGGCTGGCTGATGTTATTGCCACTCTCTGTCATCTTTGAAGGATTGTGGAGAACAGGAGAGGTGCCTGAGGACTGGAAGAAAGCGAGTGTCATGCCAGTCTTCAAGAAGGGCAAGAAGGAGGACCCAGGCAACAACAGGCCACTCAGCCTCACCTCCATCCCTGGAAAGGAGCAGCTCATCCTGGAGGTCATCTCCAAGCATGCAGAGGACAAGAAGGAGATCATGAGTAGTCAGAATGGATTCACCAAGGGGAAGTCATGCTTAAATCCTCCTAAGTGTGGTAGATCAGAGAACTAATCTTTTTTTTTGACATTGTTGTTATTTGCTTGTTATTTTTTTAGCTTTATTTTATTCATTCGAATTGCAGTACTGGCACAATGGTGGTCACAGAAATGAGTCAGAGTAGGTTTGGAGGCAAGTCCATCCCTGTTAGCAGAAGCTTGAGTTTACCTTAGGTTAAAGTGACAGAGAAACTCTGACTTTTGAATGATTAATTTGAAAGCTACAGATAGAAACGATCAGACTGAAAAAGCTGCCTTTCCGTATTTATGACCCTGCATTTCCTAAAAAGCCATGTTGTCTTGAGAGCTCAGGTTTGGCCATTGAGAATGTCATTTGATGTTGGGAAACCTGAACAATTCTGAACTGGTTTCTTCTTTGCCTCGCTGCATGGAGAAAACTGTTCTCTGCTGCAAGTCTGGGTAGCACAGAGACCCTGATCAGCTGCTGCTTCACAATTTGCATAGCTTTTCTACCTGTGCCCATTGAAAGTTGTCATTCCAATACAAATGAAACATATTTCTTCCTATTGTGAAGTGATACAGATAGAAATTACTCCACATGATGCACAGCGGTAGAAATTTGGGCTACAAAAGACAACGTGCATTCACTTACCCTCTGGTAGATTATTTGCTTTACAAGAATGCATGAGGTAATCTACTGGTACTTCTGACAGTACCAAAATGCAGTGCTTTTGGGGAGCAAAGCCATTTTATGTAGTCTGTTTACCTCATAGTCCCCCAGCATCCAAAATTGTAATGCTGCGTGTGAGAGCATGCATGCCTACATCTTTCCTTTGGTATCTATTTATGAAATGGCAGTCCCATATTTTTTCTCATTCATTTTTTTAATCTTTTAGTACTGTATTTTTGGGCTGTTTTCAGTTCATACTGTCTGCCCCCACTGTTCCCTGAGGTAGTAAATTTTAGAATGTCATTACTCTGAAAATAAGCACCTGCTTTTATGTTTTATACTGATGTCCTACTGCTTTCATTAAGTGTACAATAGTGTATTTATTGTGTAAACTGATGAACAGCTGTACCTTTTTTTTATAATTTTTATAAAAAAAATTATAATTTTTTAAACTTTAGTTATACTTCCTCTCATATTTCTCTTTAGACTGAAGAGTTTCAGCTCTTCAGATGGACCACTCCCTTGATCATTTTTGGTGTCCTTCTCTGTACCTTCTTTAATTCTACTATACCCTTGAATTGTGGTGACTGGAACAAAATACAGTACTCAGGACATGTTGCTGTGTCTAGTTCTCAATACCCTTCTTGATGATGCACAACTTCTGTTCAACAGTAGGAGCACAGTTCACGGTGTCTTTAAATTATATAATCAGGAATATTTTTTTTTATATTTAAGTTTTAAAAGTCTTATTTATTCCGTAAACCAAAATGCAAATACATGTATTAATATTTCAGTGCTCTGTTACTTCTAGAACTATATTCAGGAATTGTCTGGAATATCAAACATTCAGTACAAATGGAACCATTCTTTGTGGGGGATCATTTTTAAGTTTCTTGTGATTATAGATAAAATGATCAACAACTCCATATTATAAAACTCTGGCTACATAGAGAAATATGACCTTTGTATTTAAAGTTATTTTCTGAAATTAATTACTGTGAATCTTACATGATTTTGAATAAAAAGGAAAAAAATAAAGGTCTTTTACTACTTCTGAGAATTTCTCTTATTTTCTGTAAAAAATACGGTTTCTTCTTAGTTAGTTTTGACTGTATGGATTTTGTTTTCTGCAGGCAAGCTCAAAAGATGCTGGATATCTGTATGCAGCAATACATCACCGCCTTGTGGCATTGCGAAGCTTTGCTGAGCAAGAACCAGAAGCTAACCAAATAGACATAGAGTCAGAAATAGCTTTTCAGCCATTAAACTGTGACAGTGATGAAGATGATGAAAAAATAACTCAAGTGAGCAGCAGTGGATCTGGTAAGTAGAATTTTTCCTAGAAATGTTGTAATTCTTCTTTTTTTTTTCTTTTTTTTTTTTTTAATTTTAAGTAATAAAATTATACTTTTTTTTCTGAATATAGCTTTCATCAAAGTTTCCGTTATAAATACCCCTTTCCAGGTAGATGAGGGTAATTCCTTGTAGCTTATTGCTGTTACAATACTAGGTTTTGCTAGATCAAGTATAAATAGAATAAAATAATTCAGTTAGAAGGGACCTGTGGAGATCATTGAGCCCAACTGCTTGACCACTTCAGAGCTAAACAAAAGTTAAAGCATGTTATAGTGGGCATGGTCTAAACATCACTTGAACACTGACAGGCATGGGGCATCAACCACCTCTCTAGGAAGTCCCTTCCAGTGGTTGGCCACCCTCATGGCAAAGGAATTGTTCCTGATGTTCAGTGTGAACCTCCTCTGGTGGAGCTTTGTGCCATTCCCCGCACATCCTGTGATCAGTTCCCAGGGAGCAGAGACTGGCACCTCCCTCTTCACTTCCCCTGATCAGGAAGCTGCGGAGAGCAATGAGGCCACCTCAGAGCCTCCTTTTCTCCAGACTGGACAACCCTTTAGAGGAGAGTCTTTAGACTCTCCTCACAGGACATGTCTTCCAGCCCTGATACCAGCCTTGCTGTCCTCCTCTGAACACTTTCAAGGACCTTAACGTCCTCTTTATATTGTGAAGCCCAGAAATACACCTGATATTCAAGGTGAGGCCGCACCAATGCTAAGTATAGTGGGAGAATCACCTCTTTTTGCTGGCTGGCCATGCTGTGTTAAATGCACCCCAAAATGCTCTTTGCCCTCTTGGCTGCCCGGGCATACTGCTGGCTCACATTGAGCCTGATGTGGACCAGCACCCCCAGATCCCATCCTGCTGAGCTGCTCCCCAGCCACTCGTGTCTCAGGCTGTACCTGTGTCCCATCACTCTGTCCCAGGTGCAGAACTCAGTGTTTTCCTTTGTTGAATTTCATGCCATTAATTATCACCCAAAATCTATCTAGATCCCTCTGCAAGGCCTCTTGTCCCTCCAGGAAGTCAGCAGCACCTCCCAGTTTAGTATCACTGGCAAACTTGGTGTTGATGCATTCCACTTCTGCATCCAGATCATTGATAAAAATGTGGAGCTCTGGCAAACACCACCAATGACCATCTGCCAGTATCTACTTTGCTTTATAGCAGTGGAATACTCTTTTGATAAGAGGTTGAGAGTTAAGAAATTTTAATATTGTCAAGCTTTATCTAAAGGCTTTTTCAGTACATTTCAATATAAATGACTAGAGATTCTGAGGAACTTATTAATTGCCTGTAACAACTACTTGTCTGTGAAACTTGTGGGTCAAGATTTACATAGCAGTTTTGGCAGCTTTTTTCAACATAAGAAGAATGTAGGCTTTTCAAAGTGAAGAGTACAGTTAAAACAGGACATAAGGGGCAAGCTGACTTAGTGCTACTCTAGAAACTGTTAGTGCAGCCCACTGCAAGGCTGGGGTTGCATTTGCAGAAAGCAAGGCAGAAACAGCTCTCAGACTTAGAAGCTCTTCTGTCTTAGCAGAACACAAAACAAATTTCTGTGGCAAATTCACTCACTTGTGCCAAACTGCTATTGATGCACAAGCTACCAATTGTGTTGTCTTCTCGTAGGACTACAGCAGGCATATTTGAGTTGTTGCTCATATCATTAGTTTCCTTCTTTAACTAAGTAACATACTGTCCTTATATTATAAACTACTCTGTTTAAAACTATTCAACAAAAATCAAATCATGCACAAGTAACAGCTATGAGTGACCATTTGCTTAAGGAAACAAATAAGCCTTTTTTCCCTTTTGGCAAATGCAGTTTACAGTGCTTGTTCCCATGGTCAATTGTTATTTAACTACATTTCAGCAGTATTCAGTGATCTAAACAAAGCATGATTCTCTTACACAACATTTTCTCACAAACACCTTCATTCTTTTTAGGAAATGTAAAATTGTTGGCTTTGAGAACTCCCTGGATTGCTCCCAGATAATCAAACATTCCCTCAGTTATTCCTAAATAGTCTCAATTGACTTTACAAAGAGTCTGGTAACTTGAAAACTCTGGATGGAACTTAATTCCTTTCCAGAATTACTCTGATAAGAACTCTTTGTTCTTTTAGGGAAAAAAAAAAAAAAAAAAAAAAGAGGTGAAAGGGAATGTCAAAGCAGTTTAGGAGCACAGATTTACAAGTTAAATATTTATTTTGACTTGCAGAGTCTTTTGATACAAATATTCAGATGGCAGCCAGCAAACAGATTCTGAGATATGAGTGTCAGGTGCTCATGAGTGTCAAACCCTTTAGTTTAAGCTTTTATCTTTGATGTATGTCCAAACAATTACTCACAGCAGTTCTAACAATCAGTTTCAAGTACCTTCTGCATGACTTCTGTCATTCTCTTTTCCTTACCTCTTCTATTATTTTCAGAGCCATGAGTTTTTTTGCATAAATTTCAGTTACTGGTCACACTTTACATGCAGACATTCAGATCTTACACACACCTGTCCCTGGAACTCCCATGTCCAAAAGAGGAAAAAAATACACATCATGGCTTTTTGAGCAGGGCATGGTCAGTTTTAAATACCAGCATAGAAACATGAATTTGGATGCAACAGATCAGATCCTGCATATTTAATAACATTTGATTAAGATCCTGCATGCTTTCATTTTCATTGTAGTATATGCATGCAAATGTCTCCTTATTTTCATTTTCAGAGATTGCCTCTCCTTTAGACTGCTATAAAGGTTAAGAAATAATGACTGTTTCATTTAAAGAAATAAGGGTAGAAAGTATACCTGGACTTCATTTCATTGTATTCTACCTGTTTTATCTGAGGAAGTAACAACGGTTCTCCCTTTTCCTTAACATAAGCAATTTCCTTCTTGTTAAATGGAAGTAGCATAGTTTCCCAGATTATGCCATATGTTTCTTGACACTATGGAAGACATGAATAAATAGATCAAAACTATATTTAGTGAAAAAGACTGAAGGAAAAACAGGCATGGTATATGTAAGTGAAGCACTTGTGAACATGAAAATGGTTCTATATGTATGCAATATTTTTTTTACATACGGAATTCTTCACTATACCATTCATGGGACATTAATGCTGTACAAGGACACTGTATTGTAGGAAAGGTATTTCTACCATTTTACAGATTCACTATTGACATCTATTCCAATATATTCAAAATTCTTAATTGAATTGCCTTACTTTCAAGTAGGGATATTGTTTTCATAAGGTCCATAAATAGTAAGTTTATTTACCTAGTATTTTTATCAGCTTGTATTTCACTAGTCACAGCTTGGATACTTTCACCAGCAAATTGCTTTTTAAATCTAAATGGAGAGAAACAGACAATTCATCTATCTTTAAATGGATTTTTAGAGCGGTTGGGATCAATCACTCTCTGGGAAGTATTTATCTTTTCCCACTAACTACAAAATGAGTTGACGAGATGAATTTAGACTAGACAGCAAATTTCTAGGCTGACCAAAGTCAGGCAAATCTCTTTTTCCATTTCTTTCACTACAAACTTATTTCTCCACTAAATGTTGTCACTGCATTTGCATCAAGCTATCTTTGTAATAACTAGCTGAAGAAAGCTCAGCAGAATTCTTCATTATGCATATGAAAAAAAAGCAATCTCACCAAATAATTTAACAGATAAAACGATGCAAAATACTGGTATGAAAGGCATGAATAATTGGAACTAGAGTACTCTGTTATGAGGGAAATGCTACTGCGTGATTGCTTGACTCTCTTTTTTTTTTTTTTTTTTCTTCTCCTGGGATTTGAAACTTTACATTATTTGCTGTTTGGAGAATCCTCAGCAAACAGAATGGGGAATGCCACTTAACCATTGCATACAAAATAGCCTAGTGAGGCTATTCAAGGAGAATGGTCTCCTTGTAGGCAACAACATGAGCCCTGTAGATATGGAGGACCTAGCACCCAGTAGCTGTTCTGCAATGAGTGAGTGAATGTGCAAACTGTTGCCAATTCCTCCTCTGTCTTCGCTAATAGATCTCAAACACCTGTTTGGGATTTTTCTGTGTGTTGGCAGACCTGTGTCAGGTATCTGTGCAGATACAGTCTTACCACAGCTGCTTTCTAAGCCCATTGACTACAGGCTGTTACAGTTTCAGCACGTGGGAATACTGCTGAGTCACTCTGCTGATATGCATAAATGCCCCACATAGTTACTGGATAGATGATTCTCTAACTTAGGCACCGTATCTTTTGCAGGTTGCCTACCTCTTTCCACTGGGCACTAACAAGGTACCAATGTCAGGTTCAACAAGTCAGCCAGCCAGCACATGCATCTGTTATTTAGAACCACAACTTCTCAGCCTGCCATTGGTAGCAGGTGATCTGAAGTCATTACTTAGACCCCATAGTCACTAAAATGTCTTTGAAAATATTACTTCTTGCTTCTGATACTTCTAAGAGATTTTTCTGTGTTTTTTTCATTGCTGTCAAGGAGATTCCATCCTTGCTCCAGAAAGACGCACTTTGGTTACATTTATAAACAGGCGTTGATTCCATCATGGTCATCAGAAACAGTGGAAGGCCCTTTAAGTGTTGTAACTGTATTAGGATTTAGAAAGAACTGTTACTCTTTGGGAGGTGTAATGAGTTTCTTTCACAGAGGTGTACAAAATGTCAGTAGTACTAGTACAACGTGGGGCTATACATGGGATAGCACTTCTATCCTCTTCTCTTTTATGATGTTGCAGGAATTAATTTATGAGGATTTGCATCCCTGAGGGAAAACAGAGAGGCTGGAAAAGCGTATGTGAGGGATAAGGATGAGAGTTATCACTAGGCACAGAAATGCTCTATGAGTTAGGTCTTACACTGTACCTTAACCATTAACTCACTTAAAATTTCTCCTAAGTTCATTCTGATTGTAGGATCCTCTCTATTGAGTTGTCTTCTCTTTCCTGGCGTAGAATTTTCTTTTAGAGTTTCTTAGGTGGAATTCAAAGATGCTGGGGTCTACGACTAGCTAGGTTCCAAGAAGTCTACCTGTACATAGCCTTGCGAGAAAGCCAAAGTGTGTGGAGACATAGTGTGTCCTGTGTGGATCCAGCAAGAATTGCATGGATTTTGAAGACTAGTGGTGTTGAGCGCAGAACAGTATCATGGCACAGAAGTACAACCTTTGTTTTATTATATAGAAGTTTTCTAGTCTACTATACACATACCTCTTATATCGGCCTCACTATGACTCTGGCATCTCCTGGTGTTTATAAAGATTAAAACTGTTAACAGAGCTTTTTTATTAAAAACAACAACAACAACAAAAATTAAAATACTCTCTAAAGAAACTACTGTTCAGCACCATCATAGGAACTCCTGAAAAACCTACCTCCGTTTGATATTTTTTGTCAATTTAAATTCTTACCTTGTGCTAAAGTTAAGATTCCAAATCATTAATCTAACACACACACACACACACAATAGATAGTGATTAAAAAAGCAGAGGAGAAGTTAATTCTTAACTTATTTTTTGGAGTTCAGGTTTCTTTATTCTTTGAAGTGGATATCAGTAACACCTAAAAAAATAGTGGAAGAGGCAACTCTCTGATTGGCTTTAAATGATGACATAGGGGAAGAAGAAATCAAATGCAATGTGACAAATTGAAGTCCTTTCAGATCACCTCTAAGAAGTTTAAAACTTTTAGTAATTGTTTAGAGGTGGCCAGATGAAAGCAATTTGTAAACATAGTAAGATAGTTATATGCATCTGACATCAGCTATGAAGACTTTTTGCAGATTAGTGATAGTCCCCACAGATAGGTGGGTAATGTAAATTATGTGGGTAATGTAAATTACCCACCACAGACACCCTTGGGTACTTTATCATGACCAGTGAGTTACTTGAAGGTATGCCAGAGTTTTCAGTTTACTGAGCACCTATTACAAAGTCTTAAAAACATCAAATTACTTAAGACAGTATTCCCCTTACAGGGCAAGTTGTTTTACATCCCAGATTCACTGTCTTATCAAAACACCTGAATCTTTAGTGCTCATGTGCTCATCTTTATTGGCATGGGGAGTCACAGGATTCATTCACTATTCACATGCTCAAATATTTGTGAATAATACTGTGTTATCTTGTTAGATATTTACCTAAACCAGGAACTGATTGTATCCAAACTTTAACCTACTGCTTTGGTATTATGAAACACCAGTTTGTTTCAAAATGTGAATACACTCAAATAAGCAAGGTTATTAAAAATTCTATTTCAGATCACTCTAGATGGAACCGCAGGCAGCCCGTAGTCTGCTCATGACATCTACCACACAGCAACAACAGCACCACTGGGAACTGATCTTCCCTAAATGCCTAAGATGTCTCATCAGAACGCGGAGGAATGAAATCAGATGAATTTTGCTTTGTAATTTTTAAGCACAGATTAATTTTAGAGACAGCTTAAGTTCAATAAATTGGGAAAGAACTTGAGAGGCACTTTTGAGGATTCCAGTCAGCCTGCTTTGCACTGAGATAAGAATGACATGATGGCATCCAGTATTCAAGAATTGTTAAAAAGGCTTCAGATTTTATAATTAAATATACTTAGATTCATTATTAAAATAAGGAATTTTATAGAGAATCAATTTTTATTCATCATATTGATGGATAAAAACATATAACCATCACATAATAAAATACCTGAAAGATTTTTTTTTGTCTTTTATTTAAAAGATACATTTTGAAGACTTTAAATTGGGCATCACTGAAAACATTTATTTAAAATTGTCTGGTAATATTCAGCATCTTGTTTGTAATTACATTCAAGCAGAATTATGACTGGCAGTTTAGCATGACAAAGGCCAACAGAAATCAAAATTCATAACTAAGCAAGTGGGGTTTTTTTGTTTGTTTTAAATATGTGGAGTTGTAGACTGGTTATAGAATTTTACTAAAGGACAAAGAACCAATATCTGCTTTTACACCCAAGAGCACCAGGAGGACTGAACACGAAGAACAGTAAACACAAGTTCCCGGGGGCATGTGAGCTTTAAATCTATAAGTGTATCTGTTTACACTTACGAACACCTTTTTGCTTGCTCAGAACAAGCACTGTTAACAGTCCATTTGATATACACAAATAAATGCCTGGACAGTATAACTAGAGATCTGCATAAAATCTTTTATATGCATATCTAAGATTATTTATGCTTTATTATTAGCTGAAGATATCCCTAAACAGCATCTTGTATTGAGATGAATATTTTACACAGTCAAATTATGTGCAATAATCCAAACAGTGCCAAAGACCCAATCACTCTGTAAAAGTGATTCCACAAACTGCTGCTCACTACCCAACCATTCTCAAGAAGAGTTAGTAAAATCAATTCTCTGTAAAGCCACCTGTGAATTAAGACTTTCCAGATCCTTCGTAAGCCTATGACAGTGCAGGCACCATTTAAAGCCATGTGCTTTCTATTCTTTCTGTCAACAGATAAAGAAGGTGTCTGTAATAATTCTGCTGCAACGCTGCCTTGTATCTTGTTGGTTAACTAATATTATTTCCTGGTCATTCTCAGAGCTTAAAAAGAAGTTCTGAAATATCTGAAGTCCTTTTAATTAATAAAGCTGTAATGATTTCTCAGCCTTAAAAGCTGCATCATACCTGAAGACTCAAGTTTTAATTTAGTCTTGCAGTCTGAACATACAAGTATGAAGTTGGAAGAATTCCAGCTTCCTGAATTCTCATTGCCGTGTCAAGATCAGCTTCTAGATGAAGCTGAACTAGCATCTGGATTACGCTGAATCTTAAATAGCTGGCCAAAATTAGCACTTGTCTGACATCTGGATGACAGAAAGCTTGAGTGGGACTGGACTTTTGCCTTCAGAAAAAGGAAAGTCCTTCACTACAGAACATTTGTCTCAAATAGTGAAGCACTGGAACTCTTCAACTCTTCAGTTTGCTGGTAACAAAAATGTTTTTTCCATGACTAGCCGTACAGTGTGTCCCTTTCTATCAGACTCACTGCTGACTATAACAATATTTCCATCACTGACCTTCATATTTCATTGCTGCAACTCATACGCAGGAGCTAAGCTCCATGTTATAAAAACCAGCAGTTGTTAAAAACAGCAGTTCCATTTATTTAGCAACAGGTCACGGTGAGAACTTTGTCCTGGAGTTCAGCTGGTTGTGCACTGAAAGTAGAGATTGATTTCAAAATCTGCCTGGGTAATCAAAGTGTTCCATGAAATCGAGTGTAGGCACCAGAGCGCCATGATATCCCACAACATCTAAATTCTACTACTGCTATAAAATTATTGGGAAATAAGGAGCGTTCCAGAGTAGGTGCAACAGAATTTTTGCAGACAAAGGACTTTAAAACTTTATAAGTTGCTCTCACAGTGTAAGGAACAAAGCTTACAATCAGTCACAAATAAACTCTCTTCTCAGCTGCCTTTTCTCAAGATCTTATTATACGTACACCAGAATGCACACACACACACGATCACACACACACACACGATCACACACACACACATTTAAAAATGAAGCTATATCTCCTACAAGCTGAGGAGGAAAAGAGATATTTAAATATTGTGAGGAGTTTGGATACTGTGGTAATAGAAGACAAATGAATATATGTGCAGACATATTTATGGTATGAATTTTTACTCTTTATATCCTAATCCATTATTTATTCTGTTTTGTCTCATTGCACTAAGTTCTATTGTTTCCCAAGACTGAAGGTATGCTAATATGTAATACATAATCTTGGTTTTGTAAATGTAAAGTATGCCACTTTTTGACTGCTGGAGCAACGATTTCTATGTCTAGATAATAAACAATTTTCTTACAGCTTTATCTTCCATCTAACAAGGTGTCTTATTGTGTGTCCAAATCAGAGCTTCCTACAGACTGTTCTTACCCACTATTTCTAGCCTGTTTTCCTAAGGAAAGATTTAAACAACTGCATGCCCTACCCATCTGGCTCTCAGACCTACTTTGAGCCCAGCAGAGTTTTGGAAAAAATTGCCAGGAGGTACAAAGCTCCGAATCAATTTAAGTTCTTCATGAAAATTGGCAGTTTTGGGGTGATGCAACTCAAATAGCGGTATCCTTTCAGGAAACAGTCTTAGGGTAAGCTTGGTTTTATTTTCTGTGAGGCTTGTGGGGCTGAGCATGGCATACCTGGTTCTGAACAGGGAGGAACGATAGAGGAAAACCATGGAGGGGTGGCTACCTGGGTTTACTGTGGTCTGAAGAGTAGAACAGAGACATTTAATAGGGACCAAATCCATATGAAACTGGACATCACTAATGTTGCTGTTCCTGGAGCAACTTGTTGCATGCTTTTCCAGATGAATGTTTTTATTTAATTATTTATTTACTGAACATAACTTCTTCATACAAAATTTCTAACAAATCCCAGTGATTAATTAGTATATAGAGAGGATGCAGAGCTGGAAATTCTTAGGTGTTAGTGCAGGAATAATAAGCAAAAAGAGGGAAAACTAGCAATTCCTAATAAAAGGATATACATGTATATGCAGATACCTGACATTTAGATGATGACTTTCTGGCAAAATGTACTTGGACAGGATGGCCTAAATGTACTTGGACAGGATGGCCTAAATGACTTATTCCATACTCTTCACATAAAGAAAAAAAAAAGGAAAAAGAAAATGTCTTATCAAAAATCTGTGTCTCTTCCTTTGTCTCTCTTTTTTTTTTTTTTTTTTTTTTTTTACATCATTTGGTAAACTGTATGAAGTGAAGAGTTTAGCAGCACATTTGCTACTGCTTTCAGTGCTGCTGACAGTCTGTACAACAGAGACAGGGAGGGAAAGAGCATCCTCTTTTCTCTACATGGTTTTAGAGGACCTAGCACTGGAGCATGCTGGCAGGAAAAATAGGGAAAATATACATTCCCTGTTCTACAGCAGCTGTCTATCTAAAAAGTGGAGTTTAGATTCCAGGGTCATTTTTCGCAATTCATTCTTATAAAACAATGTGTCTGCATGTTCAAGCATATTCACATTGCTTCTGAAATGCTGAAATCAGTTGTTAGCCCACTTCAAGGATGATGTAGATGGCCTTGCACAAAGGCTGAGAAGAAAAGCAGAAATGTAAATTTCTCTTAAGACATTCTGATGAAAGTGTGGACAATAAAGCTTGCTCCTTCTTGTTGTTTTTGTGTAAAGATTTTTAATAATTTGCATTCATAATAATAACTGCATTTATTTTTCTTGTTCTGAAGCATCCTTTAGTTTGGAATTTATGAAGCAAATTATATAGTCAAGCTATGCAATCACTGATGCAGATACAAACATTGCAAGTATATTCTAGCACACATGGATGGAATCTGGGATGAGAAATTCAATAACTACTAATGAATTCATCTGCCTGCCTTGTAAGATTCTGATGGGCTGAACGAGTGACACGTTCTCTGAGCATTAGTCTGGACTTTTCCTCTGAATAGTCAGAATTAACAGCTGTGGTCAGCTGAGTTCACAGTCTGAGGACTGCGTTTTGTAAAATATTACCTTGATGGTCTGTTTACCTCCTCCTCCGTGAGTGCAACTAAACACTGATAGCATTATCATTTTCAGATATCAGTGGTAGTTACCGGCATATGAAGAAAGTTGTATAAGTTAACTATATAACTGGTTATTAATTAAGTAATCACAAGAAGTCATTCCCCAGATTTAATAAGGAGTAGAAATGAAGAAGTTATGGCCCTAGACCATAATTTCAGTAGAACTAGTAGTAAATTATTTTGGATGAAAAATGGCTACATTTGGACAACCATATAAAACTGCTGGCACAGTCATGCACTGCCAGTTTTCCAGCTAGTGTAATGACAGGAATAAATTAGTTGTGACTTAGAAATTATTCCAGGTATATTATTTTGTCACACAGAATTAATACTTTTACGTTTCTTATATACCATTGTTTGTTTTGTTTTGTTTTGTTTTTTGAAGTCCAGCCTGGTCTTCTATGGATTTTTGTCATGAAATTGACCTGTACTATAACTCCTTGATGTCTAAAATTAATGTTATTTTGAAGCATTTTCCTTGCTGCAGGCAGTACTGAGGTGTCCTTTATCACATGGGATATATAACTTTGGTTGTGGTCAGCCACAAGATAGAAAATTTTTACAGTGCAAATGCATCCCTGCTGCATAGTCGTTTCTTATAAGTATACCATGCTTAAATTCCCATGCTTGTTGATTTTGCATGAGCCTATCTGTCTTTTAATGCACCGGATGTATTTCTCTGAAGCCATTGAAGATGGGACATACTTCATCTCGTAAGTGACAAACGTGAATATAATTCAAAACGAGTAATGTGTCATTTTACAGATTCTTGCATCTTATTCTGATGTATCCAAGTGTATGTTTCATGAGAAGGTGTAGTGAGGGTGAGGTTAAGCAGTCTTATTGAATGTTTTGGAAGTAGGCCCATCTATAAAGTACAATGCAAATTGTAACACTATACAAACTCTATTTTATGTGTTATGGAAAGTTTAAACCTTTTTCCAAATGTAGACGGGGGTGTCGTTAAGATCTCTGTACCTCTCAGATAGTTTGTCTGAGACTCCCTTTTGGCAGTCATCTTCTTGGATGAGTCACTTTATACTCTGTCCTTCAGCTCTGCTTCCAGAAAATTAGGATATCTTACGGCATTTTGAATTTACACTTTAAAATATATATTTTAAGGTTGCATGCCTATAATGTTTGCAGTGGGCATTAATTCAAAAGATCCTATCATGGCCTTTACTCTGAGGCATGTGTGTCTTCAGGATAAAATGCTGTTCCCTATCCAAGCTTGACAAAGCGGTTGAAGCTGATTTGTGATCAGTAATCAAAACAGTTCAATATAAATAGGTAATGCATGAAGTGCAGATCCCTAGAGCAGTCCAATTGTCACGTCGTAAGCTATAAAGTAGATATGATGCAGAACAGAGCCATAAATTTGCAAAACCTCTTATTTCCATTTGTTCTCCAGATATCATATTATCTACTGCTTTGTACACTCTAGAAGTTAATGGTTATACAGAATGAGGTATTTTCTGGTCAGCAAGGGAATTAGTTATGGTTAATTACCCTCTGGTAATCTGCTTTGTAGTAGCACCCTTCAAGGCTAAGCTAATCAGTAGATAGAAAATCCTACTACCTGTCATCAGTAAAGACTGGATGGAGCTCGTGTATTGTTATTATACAATAGCAGGGAATGGCAGAATGCCTTTAGCTAGTCGGATTTCCGAGGACTCTCCTGCTTAACAGTCCCATGGAAAAAAAACCCTGCACTTACAGGTAAAAAGCTGCAGCTTCAGCCTGCCTGCATGGAGAGAGACGTGACTTCCCCTCGGGGAAAACCAGGCACAAGATGAGTAATTAGAGAAACGTGCGTGAATGCAGCCTTCAGTGTAGATGTGCTACGTGCGAAAAAGAATACCGAGTAAGGCAGTTTTTTGAAATGGTTAAAAAAAAAAAAAAAAGAGAGAAAAAAAAAAAAGCGATGTTTCCAAGTAGCTCACTTACAGTAATAGAAAGTAGCTCAGGATCGATTATTTTCCCTCCTTTTTGTTTTGTTTCCTGCATTTGCCAAAGGTAAACTTTGTTTACGTTAGTTCATGAGGCAGTGCTCCCCACAGGTCTTTCCCCAGCCCTGCTGCTTTCCACCAACCCTGCCATAAACCCACGAAAGACCGGAACAACCACGACCAGAAGCCGGACTTTACCCACTATCAGAGCCCCCTCGGGCTCGGCGCTTCCCCCTTCCCGCACACGGAACCCTTCCCAGCCCTCCTCCTCCTCACAGAGGCCGGTTTAACCGCCTGCCACAACCGCCCCGCCTCGGGCTTCCCAGAGCCGAGGTTAAGCCCCAGCTCCTATCTCCACGAGCTAAATCAGAGGGCACCGCCGCCTTTATTTCTTTACGAGCAACCAGCACAGAAAAGTGGGGGAACAGGGGACACCCCTCAGCGCCACGGGGCTGAGGGGACAGAGACGGTGACTGGGACGGGGACCCCGCCCCAACGGCCGCCCGCGCTCCCCTCGCGCCCCGCCCCTCCCGGCGGGCAGGCGAGGCGCGCATGCCCTGGCTGTGGGCGGTGGCGGCGCATGCGCCTGGGCCCCGCCGCCCCGCCCCCGCGGGGGCCGCCGCAGAGCCGTGGCGCGAGCCGGCGGCGGGCTGCGCTGCCCTGAGGGGAGCCGGGCGGGGGGCGGCGGCGGCGATGTCCGCCTGGCGGGGCTCCCGCTGCGGCTCCCTCTGCCTCGGCGGCCGGGCGGCCGCTCGCCGCTCCGCGCTGCTCCGGCAGCGGGCAGGGACCGGGACCGGGACTGGGACCGGCACCGGGACGGGGCCGTGCTCCGGTAACGGCGGAGGTGTCCGGGCTGGGGTTGGCGGGTTCCGCCCGTCGCGAGTGGCGGTGGTGGCCAAGACGACGCGGTACGAGTTCGAGCAGCAGCGGTACCGCTACGCAGGGCTCTCCGAGGACGACCTCCGGCAGCTGGTGAGGCGGGGGGGGTGTGTGTGGTGTGTGTGTGTGAGAGCCGTTAGCCTGGGTCCGTTGCAGCCCACGGTGGGTTGAAATCTGCAAACGGGTTTTAATTTTCGGTAGGAGGAACGGGCGGCAGGTTTGCCTTGCTCTGTGAAGATCGAGGGTTAAGGAGTGTGTACCTACAGTAAGAGGATTCTTCACGTTTTCTATATCTCCCTGTGCACTTCAGGTGGCCGTCCGTCTGCTGTGGAATTCCTCACGCTTGAATTTCTATTGCTCCATAAAGCTCTCCTAAGTAGTCAAACTGGACACGTTACCACATTTAACATGGAAATGTACCATGTGTTCTTGCTGTCAGCGCATGTGGG